CAAATGTAACAGTATTCATAACTGCGAAATTATAGCCAGGCTTATCATTTTTTATAGTTGAAACGCGTACTGCAATCCGTTTCAACTATTGAAGATGAAAGTTTTCAATATGTGCAGTGAGTTCACACGAAGTTTGTAAAGCATAACATTATTGTTAATAATTATAAATATCATCAAAGTTAACACTTTTAGTAGAATAGACGTTTCTGACATTTACGATGAACAGCAATGAACAATATTGACAGAGATCGATTTTTGGTGTTCATGATTAACTTTATAGGTTGAGTAAATTTAAAAAAATGCCAAACTAAAACTAATTACTTTAAGTTTAATTTCTTAATTATTTTAATTAAAAATATTAATTATTATTTAAAAGTACATTTTACATATATATAATTTGCAGAAAATGGACAGAGAGTAAGACCGATCTCGAAATAATTCTACTACTAACTTGGCTTATGTTCTGAAAATTAAAACCATATTGTTATAACATTATTTATAACAATATAGTTATACATTATCGGGATATTAAACTACTCCATCACGCCAAAGTCATATCTAGGAGAAGGGGAGGATTACAAGCAAAAAGCTATAAATGATCAGAACTTTATTTTTTATCTCGCAAATTTTACTTGATATATTAATTTATTATAAAATACTCCGATATACATAATTAACTTATCATATACACATTGTAATCTTTTGTATTCCATGATGTCTATTGAAAGTGACTAAATCTTCTATAATGACAACACAACATGTAAAATTCATTATCTTCTGGCTCAAGTTTTATTTACATCGGAAATCAACATATTTTTGATTGGTCTTCATGGCTTTAAAAATATAACAAAATGATATGTGCAAAGTTTCATAAAATAATTTTATTTTGAATATGTTTAAGTAATTACAATAAGAGACGTTGTTAAGAAATTATTTTCTAAATATTTCATTTATTTAATATAGAATTTTGCTAATAATTTAATATTAAATATAGAACTTTGCTCCTTGTTTTGCAAATTTTCTATAAAATATTTAATTTATTATAAAACATTTCAATATGATTAATTTATTATATACAGATTACGATCTTTTCACAATCCAAAGTGTCTACTGAAAATAATTAAATTTTGTAGATCGATACTTTATATAATACTCAATCTATTTACTTGAGTTCTTTTCATCTGAAAGCAATGTAATACTTAGAATTTTATGATTTCGGCGTCTAAACACAAATAAACCTTAACGAAACCATAACGATAAAAATATATCAGAGCAGCAAATATAGCAGAGATTTTTAAAATAATTTTACATTAAATATATTTAAGTAATATAAGAAAAGCTATTAGAAATTATTTTTTGGGATCTATTTAATACAGAACTTTACATACACTTTGCTTTTCATTCTTTAAATTTTCCACGAAATATTAATTTCATTAAATCATAAAATAATAGACATGCAACATAATTAATTTACATATAAATTGCAATTATATCGCGTTTCGAAATGTCCATTAGAATTTACCATATATCTAAAAGTGAAGCATAACGCAGCATGAAATATTCACAGCCTGCACGCTTTAGTTCCGTGCACATCTGAAGCTAATATATTTCTGAGGGTTTAATGGCCTTCACATCAAAAAACGTACGAAAGGTAAATGAATATTTGAATATATATATAAAATAAACACTTAGAGTCTAATTATTTATGTACAAATATATATTATTGAAAAAATTCGGGAAAATTAATATGAAATCCAAATTACATATTCATAAATTATTAAAACTGAATAGACATTTTGATATACCGAATAGATATTACAGATTTCATAGCAAATAAACATGAAACATGATATTACTCGACTTCATTTTATGTATATGTTTTTAATTTCATACTTTTTTATTATTTTCCGATTTTTAATTCGAGTTTCATATGTTGAAAAATTACGAGATTTTAAATCTCGTATAAAATAAGATGACCAGATGTACTCTTTTGAATCAAGAAAGAATACAAATATTTTTATGACTTTTTTATTTTTTGTATGGAAACATACTTTTTGTATTTTTCTTCTGCCCCTAATGCAATTTGAACAAATTAAATGCAATAAGATCATATGTATTAAAGAGATTAACATTAAGTTTGTTCTTTTCTACTGCACAGAAATAGAACTATATTGATTTGTATTTAGGCTCGCCTTAGAGAGAAACGTCAAAATATAATTATTATAATATAAAATTAATTAATTATATTAAATATAAATACTGTTTTATTTTATATTTTATAAAATATTTTAAATACAAAAATATTATTTAATTTTGCAAAATTACTCACATGTTGAAAAAAACGTATAAAACTTTGATCTTTGATTTATCCTCCTCTCCCCTCTCCCATCTCTTTGATTGATCTCTCCTGTACTTTTTTTTAAATCAAGTGATCTGATCCCTCTAAAAATAAGAACCAAGTTTGAACATGAAATTCTCTTTTTATGTATAGGATTTGGTAAAAGTGTCGCCATCTAGAAGACAAGTAATAATATCTCAAGTGCCTCCGTAAGTCTCGCCGCGAACCAATCGATGTTCGAGTCGGAGCCGAAGGGGGGGTTTGAACATCGTGACTAGAGTCTATTGACATTCCAATGTAAATTGTTTTGATTTTTAGTGCGGACGGTAAGCACGCAAGTACGGATCGCGTTGCGACGGACGACACCTTTTATTTTAGGCACTGTGATAAGTGCATGCCGAATGATTGACAATTCGGCGTTGAAATCAATAAAGCATCCGTCCCTTGATCACTGATTCTAACCTTGTTCAATTTTTATAACGGAGTAATCATTGAAACAGTTTCGTAATCATTCTCATTATGTTAAATAAAACGGCAGTATTTTTTAATGTCGCAGTTTTTTGTCTTTCATTGTAATTTTCCTCTCATCATTATGCTCGATTCCGCGACTGAATTACCAATTAGAAACAGCAGAGTTGCTGAAACAGTTGCTGACGGTTCATATTTTGTATTTTTCAGTTCCAGAGAAGGAATTAATTTAGGACAATGTTCGAGTGGGCGTATGATGGTGTGAATAGCTCCATACCGCGCAACGTTGGTCCAGAATGCGCAAATTATCTGACGCTGAAGCGACGACTAATAGAAACACTATTTATATCTATATTTATCATATCCTTTATCATATGGGGTCTCAAGCGAGTGACTTTGCCAAAGAAACTGGCCTATGTTGGCCAGGACCGTGTCGGCAGACGAGTCTTGCTGATTATAATGTCATTAGTTCTAGGAATGGAGATCGGTTTTAAATTCACTAGCAGGACTGTTATATATCTGTTGAATCCATGTCACATTACAACAGCATTACAGGTAAATGTATATCACCATTTTTATATCATTAAACAAATTTCTGTGGTGTTAGACTCATTGAATTCCTTCTTCACCTATGTTAAAGTTAAACCTTTTATTACATTTATCTGTTTCTTTTTTCAAAATAGTTGTATTTGTTGGCTGCGGATCCTAGTCCAACAGTCACTGCTATCTTCAGGATACATTTGAACCTGTTGAATGGACCGGTACTGGCATATTTGTTTCCAGAAACACAGTCTCGGATTGTAAGTAATATAATATATGCAAATTAAATAATAGATAAAATGGAATTTTAAATAATGAGAGTCTTCTATTAGATATTTGCAGACAAAGCAATGTATTATATTCAACATGGTTTGATGTTAGTAATACCATATTACTTGCTGAGGATTGGAGGTAATTATAATCAACATTTGAATATAGATAATAACTGCTAATATAAATATATAATCCATATACTTGCCAGAGATAATTTTGTTTTGCTATTTCCATTAGGTGTATATAATATTGAACCTTTATCTGATATGAGTTGGTCAATTCTCAGTTACGGCCTTAATGCAGGATATCACTTTTGGATTCTTCAATTTGTTGCCTTGGTTCGTATATCATGTCTTATTTGGATATTGTAAACGCGATTCTTTGGTTCATGTCTTATTTGAATATTGTAAACGCGATTCTTTGAAAAATTTGTTTTGCTATATAATTTTTTTCTTGCAGCCTGTACAGGTGAATCTTAGTCATATGTTATGCGCTGCTGTCTTGGATCCATTTGAAGGTCAAAATTATCGATTATGGGCAGTAACTCATCAGTTCATATTATGTCCCGTTCTGTGCAAGCTGTTTTGTTATGGATCCAATTTTTTCTTAACCAAATTTCCACCGACTAGGGTTAAGCCGACGCTGGAATGCACCATTCCGAAAAAAAATTGTACATATGAACAGAACGAAAAATTACACGAAGAGTCTAATACCTCAGGAAATGGCCACACACATTTCGATTAATTTGGAAAAGAAAATTGTCAGACGTATCTGAATACTTCATCTTGATTGAGTGAGTATATATTTATTATCATAATATCTAAGACTATATAAGAAGAGAATATTTATGGATTTGTAATATTTTTACACGATGTGTATTTCCATTTATAGTCGCGCTAATTAGTTCTTTCGTAGATCATATCTAAAAATATTAGGTCTTTCTTCCTTGCAGAATAATGCAATTTATATCTGTCATCTTCAAATGTGATCTACAGGAAAACTATGAATAAAAAGAAGGAGATAGGAAAAATTAACTTCTATCAAGTTCAATAACTAATTACACACTATAGTCAATGGTGATTAACATATATTTCTATTAAAAACTTTTATTTTTCATCAGGGTTGAACTTGTTCACAGATAGCACACAATAACAGACAGACAACTTAATCTTGATACAATCATTGTGATCGTATGAATTTTAATTTATTAGTCCACGATACCAAATGATAAAAATAGTCAATTTGAAACGTAAATTTCTGTCCAAATGCTTATCATACCTAGCGTCGTACATAGATTAAGAATTTCAAGGATAATGTGAGGCTTAAGCTGACGTTTCGTAACAACAATACGAGTCGTTTTAACAATATAGTTATCTTTTACTAAAAACGCATTATGAAAAAATGAACCATCTGCGTTTTTATATTCATTTTTATTTGCGCATAGAAACAAGGATATTCAAATAACGAAACTGCAATATTTTATCTATATATATATATAATAAATAGACAGCGAAAGTTAATGAAATTTTATGATGAATCTTAGTAACATGGTCTAAGATACACATGGTCTAACATACAAATCAGTTGTTTTAATGACGTAAACAATTACAGATTTGTTTTAATTTGTTAATAACAAATATTTCATTTTTGAGATAAAAATTTCATCATAAGAAAGTAATTTTAATAATAAATAATTTATATCTCAATTTTTTTTGATAATTTAATTATTCATTATTTTCAGGGTATAATAAAATTCTTTGTTTCTTTTAAAATTTTATTTTAATTTTATATTATATTTTATCTTATCAAAATTATCAGGATTTCAAATGATTATTATTGATGATAGATTCATGACTAATACTGCCCACTTGGGAAAGGTAAATGATGAAATTTCACAAACTTTCACAGTTTTATATTATTCTCACAGAAATACATATAATGTAGTATAAGTATTTTGGCCGCAGGAATTATCATTTAAATTTGATTAATAATCTAGAGGCCATAAAGAGTTTCAAAGCTTTTGTGACGTACATAATGATCTTATTTTGATAAATCCATGACTCTATTCGTGAAACTAGTCGTGTATACGAAAATATTTTTATATGACAGTTCCTATACTATTTATATATAATATCCTACATTATACAAATTCTTACATGCGGAAATATATTCTCACTAACGTAACGTAATGAGAAAATTTTAGAATTTAAAATGTGCTTTTTACAATATGTATAGCACGTTATGATAAAAGGATGAAGTTGAGGTATAGAATAAAGTGGAGATATAGAATGGAAATATAGTTTTATATATATATATATATATATATATATATATATATATATATATATATATATATATTTGTGGAAATCAAGAAATAAAATATATTATAAATGACATTAAATTTCTCAAATTAAAAATAGGATGATTATAATTCTTGCACGTGAATGTTCCAATTTTTGCATTAGACATGTATAGTAGTATTCCAGCAAATTAAACTAATGACAAATAAGATTATTTTTGTGGCATAGTATTATAAAAACACTTATAGTATTTTTTAACAGGTCTAATCATGTGAACTTCTTTCGAAGAAAGAATAGAAATTATTAAAAAAAGATCAGTATTAGTGACGATTGATTAGGTTATTATAAGTATTTTAATGAAAAATGAAAATCCATATATGTGGATTGCATTTATTTTTTAAAGATAATCTTAAAATTATTAGTATCGAATAATAAATATTATTTATTTGTTAATTAGAATATTATTGAATATACATCTTTTATAACAATGTAAAATGTTTGATTCATTAGCTAATAATAAAATAAATTATGTATATCTTAAAAAGAGAGTAGAATTACGATAATAAACTATGTTACTTACATATAGATACATACATTTAGCATTCTATTTTTTATGAAACTTATTTTACTATTTAATATACATATATTTATTTTTATTATAGCTTATTTGTTTTTATTGTATTTCTGACATGATATATAAGGTTTACTTAATTAGATTATTAATTATATGAAGATTATTATTATATGAAGAATTATTTATATAGAGAAAATTTATCTTTTATCAGGATATACCTTATTTGTACAATTTCTTATAACACAAATTTATTATGTTGTATAAAAAGATATATATAACAGAAATTAAATTTAGAAAACTTATATGGAATAGTAATATATTCGGGCATTGCATACTATTGATTTTAATTTGATTTAGTAGATGAGTTATGAACATATTTTTATAGTATCGCTAATAATAATTACATTAGCAATAATAATAATTACATTAGCAATTATTAATATTATTTAAAATATAAGAAATGTGATTGTTTTTTTTTTATTACTTAAAATGAGTTTCTAATGAATCCTATATGACAGTTGTAATATTATTTTAAGAATTAACTAAGTTTTCTAATGCAAAAATAGGATTGCAGTTTCGTTGTTTGTATAGCTTGAGTTGTTTAAAAAATAATTATATATACATATATATACATATAAAACAATATGTAAAACAGCATATATAACTATAAATATAAAGCATTTATCTTACATATTTATCAAATTCGAATATTGAATAAATTTGTTGTTACTTATTATTTAGATAATAGATTGTAAACATACGATTTGTTATTCTTTCGATTCTTGATTTTTGTGATTCTTATTTTGTATTCTTGTGATTAATCGATTTCCCGTCAGTTTTAGCCTCATTTATATTATAACGATGTTATATGAATGCCTGACTTGTGCGTTACCAGTAAATTGTTCACGATTTTGTATAAGACATACTTCGCGCGCGTTGCCTTTATACATATGCTGTATAAAAAATACATTATTTATTCTCAACGTAGGACAACATGTAAATAACATCGATAAAAACCGGATATATGGTACGATACTCGCGTATGATATTCGTATTGCACTTTGCGTTCCATGGCGAATCAATTGTAGTTAAATAAAACAAAAATCTTCTCTGCGTGATACATAGGAAACCCCAGAAATTAGTGAAATTATCTTATTTTAATAGAATATTTATCGAATAATTAACAAAAATGTAATCCAACGTATTCCATAACACATATAACTGTCGAACAGTCTATTAAAAATTTTTTTAATCAAATTTTAGTTAGGAAACGGTTACAAAGGAGAATAACATAAAGACTAACTCTTTATTATATCAATGTCGGCTATTTACGCACAGCTTATATATAAATATAAAAACTATCACTTTATATATATATGCAGAATATCTCACCATTGTCTTTTGAACAAATCTATATATTCATATTTATTTTTCCATTAAAGATTTTGCTATAAAAGATTGTAGATAAAAGAAAAAACGAATTAATCATTAGGAACGAAAATAGAAGAAAGATGAACTGAAGTTATTAAAATTACTTTAATACTTTGCATTTAACAAGCATTTAAATTACATCAGATTGTTAATAGAACTTTAAGTTTAGATTAGATTAACAAATGAAAAATAACATTTATGAAAAAAAGACATATGCAAGGTTAGTGTGAGATAATCTGTATTATATAACTAAATAATCTATAAACGATTAATGTAAAGTTGCTGCTGTTTGTTATTCATTGATTTATCTTATATATCGAGTAATAATTTATGTATTGCACGCGTAAATATTCAACATTGGCTACATTCCAATGGAATTTCGTACAAATTTGCACAATGCGAATGTTAATATTATTATTGTGATTATGTTTCTTTGCTACTGTACAACATCACTCTCGCGAAATATAATTGCCTACTTAAGATAAGATTTATCACATTCATACTTTGGAAAATTATAAACTCTATTATATTGCAATTGAAAATATTTCTCCATTTGTATTGATTTAGTACACGAAAGGGGAGGAAGTTTTCAATATCTAACATCAGTATATGATATTTATAAAAACAGGTTCTTGATTTGATGTATCGCCATGGTAATCTGTCAAGTCCACAAATTAATATTCAGGTACTCAGATATCTGAGATAGATACATTGTCACTAGCATTCGAATTGTGAAACATTGTAAGATTTTGGGTAAAATGAATAAAGAATTCATCTGGGTCTAACTATAATTCTTATTTATAAATCAAGATTTACATAAATGCACAATGATCAACACAATGATCAAATGAGCAAATATAATGGAATATTTGTGAGGTATAAATGAAGATCGAGATATACATGAAATTGATGAACGGAACAAACAGATACATATGAAATAAAGTTTATTTTCCAAATATTTATAATCACTATGTACACGATTCTGTACAAAAGTTTAGAAAAACTAATTCACGAATACTACATACAGCAAACGCAATCATTATAATAAATATGTACATTATAAATAATTGTCTTACTCACACCTAGTTCACTCTAATCATCAGTATTCAATCTTATATTAAAAACAGCATTATTTATAAATACAGAGTTAACAGATTGTAATATACAATCCTTCGTATTTATACATATATGTATAAATATATGTATATATCAACATAAAATTTACTAGATGGTAAATGAAAAGAACAACTTTTAAAATTTTATGCAGTAGGTGTTTTTGTGCTATTCATTCATCCACAATAGTGGCATAAATATTTATACAGCATATACACAAGTATTAAAATGATATTAGTATTCACTGATGTAAAATCTAGTATATGGCACACACAATGTAAGATCTAAATTATATTGACTTGTAAGCTGTAAGGACGTTAAATATTTAAAATACGAGGAAACGTACATTGCATTGGGCAATGTTTTATTAAATATTTTCTCTTTTTGTATTTTTTTCAGAAAAATAATATATATTATTGCTAGTATTCATAATCCGTTCTTATATTTAAGATCGTCTTAAGTAAGATTGTACGATTATCTCATTGGTTGAAATCTTAAGACGATCTTAAATATAAGAACTGACTATGAATATCGGCCTATAAGTGGTATAATGGATTCTTATTGTATTTAAAAAAATTTGGTTTCTTTATTAATGATTTTCATGCCTATTGAATGAGGTTTCGCAAAAGCCATTTGATTTTATTAAGCTATATAATTATTCTTGTCATTTAATATTGTACAAAAAATAATGTAGCTATACGCAATGAACACTTCAAGTGGGACACCCTGTTTTCTATTACGTGAAGAATCGTTTTTAAGAAAGCCATTCTAATATAAATATTATACAAATAAAATATAATTTATCGTGAAAATTCTATTTTAGCTCTCTACATATGAAGATAATTATATTAAATCACAAGAGACAAATAAACTATACATTGAGGTTAAAAAAATAAAATTAAAAAATATGTTCTTATCAATCTTTGGCTGATGATGTGTCGTATTCTTGATATACGTTAATGCATAAGTTATACATATATATATAAAAAATAATATGAGCATTCTGGAAGAATATAACAAGTCCATTAATTCTAGCCATAAAAAATATTACAACGAGTGTCCTGAGATTAATATATACAGAGAAAGAATTGTTGAATTGTTTAAATATTATTTAAAAAATATTAAAACGGAATTTTTTTTAAAATAAAACAACATTATAAATTAGTATAAAATATTAATTATTTTATCTTTATATGTATTTAATGAAAATACATTATATGGAGGCCTCAAGTATGATAAATTTATATATGACATTTATATATTAATATCAAATTTTATTTGATATTTTAGATATAGCATAATTATTTTATATAATATTTTCACTTTATGAAAAACATATTCTAATAAAAATTAAAACATTTTCATATATATAAATAATCGAGAATTATTAACACTTAAAGCCTCCATATGATTAATTTAATTGTTCAAACTGAATGTACATTAATGCATGTAAATGCATAGTAAATTTCATATATAATATATATATATATATATATATATATATGTAATTTAAATAAAATAAAATGTCTATTATTTACAATATTATCGACCAAGTAATCTAACACACAGGCACACATTTTCTGTGAAGAATATTGTACAGTTTGTTGTCGTGTGCTTTCTCTACTTAAACGTAGACAATGTCGATATAGTGCAGAAAACTTGGCATTAAAAATGCATTATACAGCCTCAAATGAGCATTTTGAGGATATGTTTTTTTTAATGTAATGTGTTAGCCATCCAATGGTGGTCCTAAGTATACCATAGACACTTCTGTATTTCCATAAACAGCAGATACTGATGGATATAATCTTTTATCGGGTAACCCTGTTTATCAAAGTGACTCGTAAAATCTTATTCTTGCTTCAAAATTTCAAAAAATGGCATAGAAAATAAAAGAAAGTATAATTAATAATTGTCTCGAAATTAGGATGGTGATAATAATAAGAAATGATAATAATATATCAAAAATCCAGAAAAAATGGATAAAATGTCATACCTCTAAAAGCTACACCCAGAAATTCGTAATTCTTCTCGAAAGATAACGTATTATCATCACAATCCAAAATTACTCTAATCCTTTCCCCAACCTGTAAATAAAAATTATCAGGTATTAGAAAAATGTTTGAAGGAAACTATTATCTTTATATGAGAAAAAATAATATAGAAATATAAAAATAACAAGAAATGTTAGGCATATAAAAATAATAAGAAATAACTTGTCATGAAATGTCATATAATTTATGAATGACAAATTCAATACCTGATATTTTGGAGCATTATTGAGTAAAGGATAATTCCCTTGTGGATCTCCATTATGTAACAAATGGTTATCGACAAGATTCCAACCCCAGGAATGTTCATCAGAGCCAAGTAATGCTACATATCCATGGCATAACAAAGGTGCTTCCTTAGTGGCAATTCCTATTACTGCTACTGTTCCTAATGGTCCTTCCCAAATAACTTCCCAAGCGTGACGTCCGTGTCGAAAACCTATCTTGCCTCTACACGCATCTGTACTTTGTGCTACAGGATTTCTGCAATAATATAGTAACTGGTGCGAGACATTTTGGATATCGTATTTGTCAGATTACTTCATGCTTTACTACCAAATTTATTAATCTTAGGAGACTTGAATATATTTATATTTCATAAAATATTAATTATTTATTTACTGTTAATTATTTATTTATTTACTTCTCTTTTAAGCGTCTAAAAAAACCTATTTCTAGTTATATTTTTTACACATGAAAGTTAGTCGTGGATCTCTTAACAATTGATTTATAAGGAGCAATATTTGACTGCGACCGGTAGAGATTTCTTTTGAGATGTATTCATTCAAGAATACGAGCGAAGAATTTAGGGGACAAGACTCGCTTGACAACCGAAACGCAGAGAGAGGACAATGTCACCGGACACCAACCTGTGCAGGGTGAATCCGTTGGGTTTTATGTAAATGTTCCGCGAGCAATCGTTCGGGTTCCACGCGTGATAAAATGCTCGCAGCTTCGACTTGTACGTGGGTACCGAGGACAACAAGTCGGAGCTGAGGGCCTCCTGTGCCAGCTTTCTTATGCAGTGCATCCGCCACACGTCGTTGTTCTCGTCGTTGAGAAACTGATACCATCGCTTGCACACCAGCGAGCAGTTTCTCAGCGTGTGCAGGTCCAGATATGAAAATATCACCTCTAAAACATGATCAGACGCCCGCAATGCTATATCGTCCATTTTGCCGGGTCTGTTTTAGGCGAAAGAAGCGTAAACATACACGGCACAGAAACACCGTCCGTATGTCACAAACTACGCGCATGTTAGACGGACGAGAGCGACCGACGTGGAATCATTCCACCACTGACGCGGTCTGGTTCTAGGGAATGTATTCGCGGTATCCACCAATATCTCGTTGGCATTACGCCGCTGATTGATTTATCCGCTAAACAAAAATCGTCACCGATAATTCTGATAATGACATAATTAATGTGTTATAATTAATACGTAACGTTGACGTAACAATATTTTTTGACTTATTTTATATATTTTTTCTTTTTACAGCTATAAAATTGTTTTAAAAGCAAAGGCATTTATTAGCGTTTGTACAAAATACAAAATTTATAAAATGAATCGATATTATAAATGTTAATAAATTGAGAAATGTATTAATGTTAAAAATATCAGTAAACAAATATAAATATTAATAATATCGAAATGTTTGGAATATATATATATATATATATATATATGTGTATCACACAAGAGACAATCATTCCCTTTGCGTTTATATTTATGTGGGTGGATCACGATTTAACGGGTACTTTCTTCGGAAACACCTTCGGCGGACCATTAAATCGTTTTGTTAATTGAATGATTCTCTCTGCCTCACGAATACCGCTGAGTCTTGCACCATGCACCGTGCTATAATGACCTGGTACAGTAGCCTCGCCCGCGAATAAAAGAATGGGAGGCACTATCTCGCAAGAGCCTAGAAAATGTAATATTTATTGAACAAAATTATCCTAAATGAAGTCCTTAATAATATCTCATGTTTATCGATTTTATGATTAAATTGAAAGCTAAATATATAATTTCTCCTTTTTCTTATACATATGAAAACTCCAAATATTACAGGAATGTCCTGAATAAAACTCTTTTTAGGTTTTTCAACTAACTTAATATTAACATAGATAACATAGATTGATTTAATGTAGATTGATTTTAAAAAATTAAATTAAAGATCCCTCGATATAAAATATTTTGAATATTTAGAGCAAAGCTTTTTCTAAATCTTCCGAAAAAAAATTGTTAATAATTGTTAAATGTTAAAAATTGTTAATAATTTCTCATATTTATCGATTTTAAAGTTAAATTCAAGGCTGTAAATCATCTATAGAATTTCTAAATATTAGAAAATATCTAGATAATTCTTTCTAAACTAACGGGCGTGAATGAAAGTTAGAGATACCCGGTAATGGACTAGCTAGATCACACTGATGACCAACGGTGCTGTCCATCGCCATGTAACTGTAAGCCCCAGCGAAGTATTGATCCAAGCACCACTTGCTCCTGAGAATGTTAATTGGATAAGGTAACGTCGGGTCGCCGGTAAATTGACGAAGAACCATCGTCATCGACTCCACTACTTCCTCATCAGAGCATAACTCCATGTCCTTTGCTTCGCGTCCACACACCCAGGCGCACAACACATGTTGAGAATTAGGTAATTCTTCTACATTTGCCATACCTAAACGTGAACAGAATTGTCGTCATTTGTCAGTCCTTAAAAACTTTTTTTTTATATTAGGATCGTCAGTGACAACCTTTCACCCAGTCGCATTTGTTTGCCAGTTCTTCAGCAGACCAGGCCAACTTGATGGCACCTTCACGCCAAACCCAAAATGGTCTCGCGTATTCGAGGAAGATTTTATTAACGTGTCCATACCCGAGCTTGTTTATTGCCTCGACTTTCTCGATAGGCAATCCTGGCAAAAACAATTTCGCGTGCTGATTTTTCAGGACGCCAAGCGAAACGGTTACGATCACATAATCAGCAGGAAACTCCTCGCCATCGCTACTTTTCACGACAGCCCGCGGACACGCATTGCTTGTTGCACCCCATTGAATACAATTAACTGGTTTGCAATACCTTGAAAATGTGAAATAATACAACATTTACAAACAAATGTAACAAATGTTACAAATGTTTTATGACAAGAATTGCTCTCGAATTTTTTCAAATTAGAAGATATTCCCGAAAAAAAACTTCTATTTTAAAAATATTAATAAAAAATATATTAATAAAATATTAGTAAATAATATTAATAAAATATTAATTATTCTAAAAAAATCAAAACTAGGTAAATGAGGTAAATAAATAGATACATTTTCCTTTGTACGAACCTGACACAACCACTTGGCAAATCTCGAAGCAAGGGCGCTAGCACCCCCACATATCCTAAGGGTACTCTAATATTTCCACCGGGAATCTCGATATAGCTGCCAAATTGATCGGCCGAGACAAGCGAGAGATCATCTCCGCATCGACATCTTAAGCAATTCGTCATGCCGTACATCACCCTTGCGGCATCATATCTGCGAATCATAAATTATCTACATTGTTACTTCTGACTATAGGAAAAAAATGGAATAAATGAATTGTAAATTAATTGCGCTGCGATGTAACAGTTGTACTTTTTGCGAAATTAAATTAATTTTTCTCAAACGCAGCAGGAATACAAACGACGATTTTTTTTAGGAAAAAAAATGTATCCATAATAATTAATTTTATTTATATTATATATTAGTAACATATTAAATCAAACTACTACTACACCAAATCGTATCTACATAATTATTTCTGTATTCAGGTAGAATAAGACTCGATCATCGTATTCGAATCAAATAATTTCTAATTAATTAATGAGAAACTGCGACTCGTTTTGTCAAGCAACTGTTGTACATCACCACTGATAAGACTTTTGCAGTTGACCTGGCCAACTGTACCGTTGCTCCTCTGGGAAGTTGTGGAGCTCCTGCTGAATTCTGATGCCCATAAAATTCAGCAACGTACCGTGGGCACGGCCGCAGCCAAGAGCGAAGAGAGCCGCCGCCTGTTGCTCGATCTGCCGAAAGGTGTGATACGCTGTGATGCTGACCGGAAGATCGATGGCCCTGCCGTCGCTGGTGCAGAAAAGTCCACGACTCGGATCCGGTCTAAAAAGCGGTGCCTTCAACAAACCTTCCTGTGCCGCCAAAGTGAACACCGGATTTGCCACGCAACCACCTTCGATCCACGTGGCGCCCATTTCTGTCACCACGTCGCCCAACCAGCAAGAGTGAATTCGACCACCCGGCCTATAATTAAAAGTACACTGATTAGCTTACACGACAAATGAGAGATCCCACAATGATATAGATTTATTATATTTTTGGAATGTGTTAAAACAATGTAAAAACTACAACATATTACAAAATATTCTGTATATGATCATATTATTTTAACGTCAAAATTTTGTTAATATTAATTTTTAATTTTTTAATCGTCGATTTTGAATGTATTCCAGATACCTATCCGTCGCTTCTAAAATTGTAAAATTGCGGAGGCCACATTGAATCAATCGATGCGCTGCTGATAGTCCAGCCATGCCAGCTCCTATGATTACGATAGTTGGTTCTGGTTTGCATGGATCTACCATACAGGGATCCAGTTGACAGATTTGAAATTTTTCTGGTCTCGTACATCCTGGTGTACCTTTTTTACTTTCTCCACCTTTATCCAATGAGAACAATCTATAATACGCAAAAGAATATATAGTTAATTGATAGCTTTTAATTGTAAGTAATGAAATAAAATTTCACTAGCAAATGATACCGGTTTTCAAAAAACTATGTAACCTTACTTCGTGATTGACTGATATTCTGATATACCTTGTGAGAAATCGTTGCAGCTTCCGGGATGATACTCTGGATCTCGAGAGCATCTCATTGATAAAATCGATTTGGTAATATGGATTTGTAAAATGTTAATATTTAATTGTTTAAAAATTTAGATATTTAAAATTTAGACGCGGACCTGTATTATGAGAGGAGCATGTCGTTTACAAACAAAAAACTTCGGCCGTTTTAACCGTCTACTGTCACTTCGTATGCACGTTTTGATGATTAAATAAAAGAAAATTTATAAATAATTTCAATAATTGAATCATATCAGATAACAACAAATCACAAGTATCATTAAGCGAAACATAATAAAAATTGTATTTTAAAATTTATAATATATTAGTTACAACTCCTAGTTCACAAATAATTTACAAAAATGATCTCTCTTTCTCTCTCTCTCTCTCTCTCTCTCTCTCTCTCTCTCGATATTTTGCTAAATTTATCTTATGTGAAAAAATTATGGAAAGAATAGAAAGAAGAAAGTTTTCTTGAGAAATTTAAATATAACGTAAAGTATAATTAGTTTATCAATATTAACAAATTATTTCTTAGTATCTATACATATAAGTGATATTACACAAATTATGAGAATTTATAATATAATTTCGTTCGCGTATGATCATGAAAATTGATTCCACATTTAAACGTGTATTACATCGTGTTTTACGTGTTTTCGTATTGTTATCTAAGTAAGAACACTTAAAAATCATCATCACCTTGATATTCATATATTAAGACTTTTTTATTTAATTAATTCTCAGATATTTTGTTATTAAAACATTATTGATACCGATGAGTGCAAATTCTGTGTACAATTAAGAATTTATAAAAATTGCACACGCACATGAAAAATAATAATATATATTATTATAACAGTTTGCAAATTTTGCAAATCAAAGATTAATTACGATATTTTCTGCGAAATTTCCTTCGTCTCTAAATTCAAATTTTCTATTCTCGTTGCAATATCGTTCGTCGATTTTGCGATATCACTGATCGATTCTTCACGAAGTTTCTCTTGTAGAATTTCTGTTGTCTGACTGCTTATTTCATTCCATGCGAAAGCGATGTCTTCTTCCCGACATAATCGGCTGCATATGACGAATCGAGCTACAAGCTTATGATGACATGTGCCGACAACGAGATAGATTTTTTTTCTAGCTTGCAAACGATCTAAGAGTTTCTTCGTCAAACTATTATCACCCTGAAATGAGGAATAATCTTTTGATTGCAAAAATCTAAGAAATAAGTTAATGATTAAAAAGAAAGTCTAAGAAGTAATATTATGACATAATTAATCAATGATTTAATCAAGTTAAATAAAATGAAATTTAAGTAAAAATTTGTAACTAAAAGATGGAAATCTATGATATAGTGTAATTTTTAATTTCTGTATTGATTTGTATATTGATAAAGGAACTTATGATTGGAAAAACATACCTTGATACGGAAACAGACAAGACCCATGACAACTTCAGTGACTATTTCAAATCTATCATCTGACCTGACGTAATTTTCGAAAAGCTGTGCTAGTTTTATGGTTTGTCTAATATGCGCTTGAAGTCCTTGCACTCCGTAAATGCGCATGACAAACCACAATTTTAACGAACGAAAACGTCGTCCTAATGGTATCTGCCAGTTCTGTTTATTATTAAAAATAATAATAAAAAAATTAATAAATTAAAATTAGAAAAATTTTAATTATATTAGAAGAAATCTATTAAAAAAATAATGATATTAGTCAAAATTTATCAAATCTTACTCTATAATCTGGTAAAAGTCCTTCTTTATCGTGAGCTAGATATATTCTGTTAACATCAAATGCTTCTATAAGTCGTTTTGAATCTTTCAGCCTAAAAATAATGATAAATATATAATGATATATGAAATATATAATGAAAAAGAAATGCAAATATAAATGTAATAATATATAAAAAGATTTCGGGAGAGGAACTTATTTAAACATATTTAATTAAATTATTTTTATCTTATCATAATGTATACATACCACAGTACCGAGGCATCGAAATTTACTAACAACCATTTGTGTGCGTTAACGTTGAAGGAATCCGCATACTGAACGCCTGACATCAAATAACGGAATTCCGGGCAACAAAATGCTCCACCTAAATCAAAATGATTAAGACAATAGATTTAGTTAATATTTGTAACAAATATACAAGTAATTATAATTAATCAAATAGCAAAAATTCATTTTTTTTATTAATAATATATTTTAACGATTAGTGAATTATGATCATGCGATCGAATTAGTGACTAGTGATTGAATTATTATCATATTGAATATATGCAAGACAGAGATATAAAGCTAATAAGAAAGAGAAAATTGTATAAAAAATAAAAATTAGAACGTTATCTACCTGCATAGGCAGCGTCAATGTGCAACCACATGTTATATTCCTTGCATATTGGTCCTATCTCGTCGATATTGTCGAAGGCACAAGTGCCAGTAGTTCCCAAAGTAGCGACGACGTAACACGGTATAAGACCTTTCTCCAAATCTTCTCGAATTGCTTTCTTCAAAGTTTCTCCGCGTAGAGAGCACTTATCATCCACTGGTAGCAACCTCATTGGCATTGATCCTAAAATTCCTGCTTTCTCCACTGAAGAATTAGACTGATCTGAAAAAAACATATTTTTGTACAAGTATTTTTATATATCGACATGAGGATGTAAATGATTAAGATCTGTGAAATCGATACGAATTTATATTGAACTTTCTCTAATTACTTAACAATTAAATAGTATTTTATCATATAATACGTGTATTTCATATTTCAAAATTTTTTTATTTCTATTTGTACTCACTGGAAGTATATGCGACCAGTTTAGATTTAATGTGATCCTCATCCATCTCCGGATGAAGATTCTTAATATGATGTGTTGTATATTTTTTTGCAGCTAATAAACATATAAATGTACATTCACTTGCACTTCCCTGAAATTAATGTAATACATGAAATGTGTGATGCAATGATATCACAAGTCATTAAAAACTATGATTTATAATATTCCTTTATATTTTATTATTAAAATATAATCAATATATATTCATAAAAAATAGGATAGACTATTTTGCAATATTTAAAAATTATTAATTTTGGCTGTACTCATTGTTTAACAATCAAATCGAACAACGGCTCGTTGGTCTAGGGGTATGATTCTCGCTTAGGGTGCGAGAGGTCCCGGGTTCAAATCCCGGACGAGCCCATTTATTTTTGTTATAATTTTTTAATTATAATAATGTTATTTTAGTTACTCATGCTTAAAAAATATTAACAGAAAGTAATTAAATGATTACACTTTAACAATATCAATGTGGCTTTATATATTTTAAAAAGTTACAAAATTCGTGGTCTCACGCACCAGTTGTTATGCATCAGTAATTACATAAGCGGCAATTACCTGAATGACTCCTCCTCCCGTACCATTGCTGCTATACAAAAATTCTTTAGGTAGACCTAACATTTTGCCAAGCCAATTGCACGTAATGACTTCGAGCTCGGTGCAAGCCGGAGAAGCTATCCAACTGAAGCCAATGCATCCAATCGCGCAGCTCAAAATTTCGGCGACGATCGCCGGATAAGAATTAGCTGTTGGATAATACGCGTGAAACTGCGGCGAATTCCAATGTGTTATCTATACGTTGATAGAAAGGATAAAATGGTTAGTTCTTCTTCTTTTCTTCATAATTAAATGAAATATTAAATAAAGAAACTTTTACTTATAAATTCAAGAATATTGAAATTGATTTAATATACAGACAAATTAAGTTATGAAGAAAAGCATCAACTTATATGAATTAACTTTAAGCAGCACAATGATATTTTTAATATTAAGTTTTATTATCTTTATTATCTCTTTTCTATTTCTAATTATAAGATATAAGATTATAAATATAAGAAGAATCAATTTCTTTTTCTTTAATATTTCTTATTTTAAAATCGAGTTTTTATCAATATAATTTTAACTATTAAAATTGATTGTGTTATATGCAAGATAACAAGTAATATGTCTTTTATGATTAAGAAAAAAATTACCCCTGGCATAATAAATTGCTCCACATCTTTGAGCACTTCTTGCCATTTCTCAGATTTTTCAGGCGCTTCTTTTGGCAATAATTTGCTAAGATAATCCGGTTCCACATCGGGCAATACGTTTCTGTTTCTCAAAGTCTCGGTATAATTTGCAACATAGTTTATAGTTGCTTTGGCAAATTCTACGAATTCCGGCGTGTCCATATTCTATAAATTAACGAGCACTCAACACAATAGTGCTGCACCACAAGTCAGGAAAACTGTTTTAATCCAAGGTATTTATATCACGAAAATTATAGAGCAAAGTGATTAAATCGTAGCTTCCTATTTTCCGTTAAAGTTAAACAATTTTTGTTTGACTGCTTGTTTGATGCAATTATATGCGTCTTCCGCGAATGAATTTATATAATGTATCGTTACGTTGCTATAAATTTTACGTTTGCTATCGATTATTTCACCTTGACTGCTGTATTTATTACTATTTGCACAAAACAACTTTAAAATCTTGAGCATTTAATATCACATTAAAGCACTTGTTTTTTTATCTAAATTACAAATAGTTTTTAAAAAGAAATACAGTATCGCAAATATAATGGCACATATAATTCCTTTTATATTTTTAATAAAAATTAACATATTACATAGACACACAAAATTTTGCTACCATGATATCGTAATAACAACGATAATAAGATATTAAGATGAAAGAAAAAAAACTGTTTGATAGCGAAAGAAAAAGATTTTTTTATATAAAACTGATCTGAATCTTTCAATAAAATTTTGCTTCTTGTTTTCTTTTTCTTGTTTTCAATGAAAATATTTTTATATCTAACGTTATTATCTAATGTTTCCTAGGTTGATTTTACTTTCTATAATTAATTGTCCAACTCGTACCTCTATGATTTACAAGTCACGTATCGCACGGAACAATAAAAATTTCACTTAGGAAATGTCACTTTCATAAACATCGTTGCTTTGGCACCGATTTTATATTCGGATCTCGTTGTCACTATCGAGTCGGACACAATTACGCGAGAAAAAAATGTATACGCGAGAAAAATTTAACCGCTCGATTTATACGATTCGAGATGGACGCGCAAGCGGATGGACAAATGAGAAATGTTTTCAGTTGAATACCATCCTCTAACGTTAAATACCACCACTCAGAAAACTTTCACTTGCTTTCTCCGTAATCACACCAAATTTGCTGATCGCGGAAGTAATTTTTCTCTAGTGCTCTAAAAATGTTCTTCAATTGACATCTTCTTTTAATTCAACAATTTTTTCAACAATTTTAAATTCTTTAATTCTGATTGATACATTTAATTGATGGCTCTGGCCGGCATATAGAAATGAAAATTTTGCAGTTTAATTTATATTTATTATTTACCTGATATGAATTACGACGATATGACTGCCGCGACTGATTGTAACAATCTTTTTATATAATTTATTATAACATTATTACATATCTTATCTAGTTATGTATAATTCTATTATTTAACATATTTTTTTATTATGTATTCTTATTATATTTTATTATTATTAAATAAATAATAACAAAAACGAAATACTTTTTTATAAAAATCAAATTCAAATATAGGAATATACAACAAATTAAAGAATATATATGGCAAGTTTAATGACATTAGTATCAATATATATTGTTATAATTAAAATTATATGATAGAGATTATAAAATGACTAAGATAAAGCACATCAAAGCAATAAAAGCCATTGATTAAAGCACATATATTAAAAATAGTATTAAATGTAATTAATCTATCATGAAATTAAGATGTCCATTTTCATTTGGGTCAAAGATTGAAAAATAGTAGATCACAAATAAAAAATATTCATAATTTATGTAAATACAAAATTCGGAAGAAAGTATAAGTTAATACATGGATCAGCTTATATTGTCTCGGTATCTTTTCTCTTGATTGCATATTCTTATACCTTGTTTTTCTTCTTTAAAATAAGAGCAGGATACCATGTAGTAGAAAAGACCTTGTTTTACTGCAAAGAAACCATTCACAACTCTGTGCTTTATATATCTTCGATTGATTGCGCATTAAGTCGTTTTATTTCAGAAAACATAAAATGTTCTAGACTTATCGACACAATATCTTTTTCTCTTCTTTTCTTTTTTTTTCTATTTAACCAAAAACAAGGCTCATGTCAAGTTTTAAGACACTATTCATTTTTATTATAATGATTTTTATTCTTTTACAATTATGCAGTTTTTACTGTAACTCTCCTGTAATTTAAAAAGTAATTTTAATAAACTGTTATACAATTTTAAACAATTTTTAATTTTTTAATCATATTTATCTTAAAACTAAAACTAATCTAAAACGTTTCCACAATTGCTACTACGAACATTAGCGATGAAAGATTTATTCTGTTCAATTTTTTTTTTTCTTGTGTGTTATAATGTTATAAATCAAAACGATCAGCATATATTATTGTTTTCCAACACGAACAGAAAAATAAATAGCAAAAAGAAAGATTTGCGGGCTCGTCCGGGATTTGAACCCGGGACCTCTCGCACCCGAAGCGAGAATCATACCCCTAGACCAACGAGCCATGTAAAAACTTTTTTCTTCTTGATCTTCTACCTGATTATAATTAAAATAAAAAAAAAATAAGTATAAAAAATTATGAATCTATTAAAAAATATTTAATTATATATAAACTATTTATGCACACAATGTTGTCCTTATACCTTCAATTTGATTTGATTATTATTTTATCCAATATTTCAATCGTGCTTCTTTCGCAATGTGCCAATTTTAATCTTGATCATTTCCATTGACTGCCCACTTTTATTTTATTGTTAAAAATTTTTTAAATTATTAAATTGATTTCAAAACAAGTTTAAACTTTTAAAATAAAACTTAATCATCGAATATGAATAAATCAAATTGCATGGTTAACGTGATTGATATTTGATAATCCGGGAGGTCAATTGCGAAAAAGTAACAACTTTTCGATATGGCTCGTTGATCTAGGGGTATGATTCTCGCTTAGGGTGCGAGAGGGGTTCAAATCCCGGACGAGCCCGTCTTTTTAGTTGATTCAACTGGTTTTTCGATGACCTACTTTCGCAACTTTCAGTTTGGTAGGTTATTCGATATAAGTGTTATATGACACACAACACATTCCACGGTTGGAGAATACGCTAACTCAAGTTCTTTCTCTGTAGTAGATCGTCATCGTTGTTTAGATTAATCTTTGTCACGTACGCTACACTTATATGAAATCATAGTAACGAATATTAAGTTGAATTTATATTTTTTGTATATTCGAAAAAATTAATTTATTTATATAAAGATAATAATTTTATAGGAACTTTTATGCGGATATTTAATGACAATAATTTTAATATATCATTTTGTAATATTTAAAAATAATTAAGTTTTGTATCATTGTTTATAATAATTTGTTTGTCATAAAAGTATCAAATATCAGAAACTTAATATAAAGGTCATTAAGTTATAAAAGCCTTGATTATTAATAATCTGCAAGTAGATATTATAAAGATCATTTTTGAAACATTTTATAGAATGATAACGTTTTGATATTATTTTTTAAAAAATTTAGTAAAATCTTTAAAAGATCATTTTAAAAATCTTTTACTTTCAGCAATGCTCATTGAGTAATTTCTGTTCACAAATAGAAAGTGACAGAGCAATACAAATAGAAAGCAGAAGAGGACATTATATTTTGTGCTACTTTTTAAATTCTCTGTTTAAGAGATTGATCTATATTTAAATTCTTTTTTTCTATTATATAAATATTATGTGGTATTATATGATCAACTTATTTTAAATTGCCGTGATTAAAAAATAAAAGTAGAGAAAGAGGAGGGAGGAATTATTAAAAATATAAAAAGAGGCAAAAGAAGTTTTTTTTAAAAAATAATTTATATGCTCTTTATATTTAAATTTTTATATATATTAAAATAATTTACACAAAGAGTGTTTTATAGTTTAAATAGAAGAAATAAATGATTAATCATTATACAAACAAAATTGAAATATAGCATTTTAATTTATATGATATATATATATATATATAAAATGTTCTTTGTTAACTTAAAACAAGTTTCTGGTAGAATTAAAATAGTTTTACATTTTTCTTTCCGTCAAGGTTCGACCATGACAGTTACTTTGTTCACGGTCGCACTTTTTTGACCTACAAAGTGATTATATAAGTGGTTGTATAATTTAATTAGATTTAAAAGAACATAAAAAATATAATAGCATGATTATAAAAATATGACTAGTTATTACAATAAATTATTCATTTTAAAAATACATTTTATATACATGTTTGCATAACACGTTTATAAATGTCTTATTCTGCACAAAGGCTTTATGTTTGTATAAAGTATTTATTAATTTTAAAAATATTTAGAATATACGTACAAATTTTTAAATTCAAATTTAATGTTGTTGTTGCATGTGTTGTTTGAATTTGAAAATTTTTAAAGAGATTTTGTTAATTATTTCACTTTTAATTTATTTCACTTTGCTAATTGTTTTACTTTGATCACATACATAATGATAAATGCCACATATTTATAAAACGAAGTTATATTAAGACGAATATTTTAATATATAATTATTAATTTAATTTAATAACACGTCGAAATTCTATAATCGATAAATGTATCGTGAGACTGTCACATAAATGCAACATTTTTAGACCTAAATGCGGCCATGCGAAATGAGTTAATTAAGTTGTCATGGTCAATTCTTTTTCTTATTACCAATCAATATTTTAATTATTTTATACCGTTTATACCGTTATATTTAGAATTATTGTATAGCAATAATTAAAATTCTTATATTCTTGAAATTTATTATTTTTGTTAAAAGTAAATTTTATATAATAGATAATAATATTATTCATTATTCCAAATGTTTTCAATAAGAAAATATTAAAAGAAAATATTGTAGTTTTTTTAATAACATAATCACTCTTGTGCTTTTATCAATTATTAATTTCTTTAATTTTATAATAATTACAGTTATTATATTAAATTATTTAATTATCAATTCTAGCTTATTTAACAATTAAAAATTTAATACAAAAATTTCCATTTACAAGAATATTGTAAATTTTTTTTAGTAATAAGTTTTTTAATCTTTTAGCTAATCTATCGTTTGGTGCCATAAATAATTAATTCTAAAAGTAATATGCATGATGTTAAATGAATTAATATGTTAAAGACTA